GGACACGCATCTCAGTGGAGTTCAAGGGACTGGGCACATTCAGTGCCAGGTGACGGTGGAAGGAACACCCCAAGTCCTCTCCGTCACAGCGGGGTGTAATAGCTCAGTTATGCACAGTAACTGAATGTAATCCCTGAGCACAGAAACCAGACCACTGAAGAGCTGAGGCTAGAAAGAGCTGTCAGAGCAACGCCACCTCGACAAAACAGGTCAGCCATCTGCCTGAAGAAGAGCCACTTCCCGGGTGCTGCAAAAGGGAAACCTCCAAACCAACCAAAGCAAATGGTTTAAGTGACAGCAGTGCAGGTGATGTCCCCATCGAGGCCCTGACCAAACCGGGGTGCCTTTTCTCCATCTTCACCCATCAGCAGAAAAAACAAACAGTTCAGCACTTCAGCTCCCGCTGTGCCAATCCCAGCTCAGGGTCTTTGTTATGAAGAGTTTCTCCACACATGGCTTAGCCTTAGCAGATGCTGATCCCATTGCCGTGCATTCCACACAGACAGAGACCACGAACCAAAGGAACCAGCTTTTTTGCAGTTACCCAAAGGGTCTGATTGCTCTGTGAGCCCTAGCAGATGCCAGGTTTCACTACTAATAAAAGCCACTTGAGCATCAGTACAAATAAGTAGGCAGGGGGCTTGAGTGGCAGTGGATCAGCATGTCAGGCCAGCAGCAAGAGTGGCTACCACTGGAATATCCAATTTCAGGTACCCCCAGCATGCTCACCTTCATGGCTCAGAACCAGAATAAACATTGTTTCTGTGGTATGCTTATGTTGAATCATCAGAGCGTCTTGAGACAACCACAGCCGTCATCCAGACACTTAAGCCTGCTGTGATTGAGGCAGACAAGATTCTTTGGGTAAATGTGATATATTTTATCAGACCAACTAAATAGTTGGAAAAATTGTTCTTTGCAAACTTTTGGGCACAAACACCCTGCTTCAGGCACAGGGAGAGGACACTCTGAGGGTCTGAGTTACCCAAACATTCAAGACGACCCCGTAGGTCAGTTTTTTCCTTCCTTAACCACACAGAAGGTCTCAGCTCCTCCGCTCTGCCTCTCTGCACAGCTAGAGAATGGGTGCAAGTCAGACATGGAGGGAGCTCTGGTTTCTGCTATACACAACAAAATAAATCTCATCTCTCGGCTTTCACACTATAGTACCAGGCACTGATACAACTTGAAGCTCTCAAAGCCTTTTGTATGCAGTAGATAAACACCACAAAATCCCTAAAGCAGGTGAGTGTTATAGCTTATATCCAGATAGAAACTAGGCACAAGGAACTTCAGTTTGGCGATCAGACTTGCTCTGTGGCCTTTTGTCTAACTGTACCTACAGCGCAGCTGGAACTAGAATGAAGCATCCTTACCACTAAGTCCATTCATAACACGCTAGAAGCCGTTCCCATTCTTAATTTAACAAGAAAACCCATGGGATCCCTGACTCCCAGGTCTCTCTATCCTTTCTTTTATGTTTAAGCTTATTCCTTTTAGCAATCAGGGTCAGCAAGTTAGTGGCTGGTAAGTAAAAGGGCTGCACATCTCAGTGGAAAGCTCCATCTGCATAACTGGTATACCCGACTTTCATGCAGCACACATGCTAAAAATCCCGTTTCCATTTGCTTCAGCAGTTCCCCTCATGATTAGGTGGGACATTTTCCACCAAAAATGTAGCATATTTGTGACAAGCTGCAAGCTGATGATGCAACACTGAGACACAAAGCCCAGACGACTTTGCCTCTTGATGCCACGGATTCCTCTCCCCCCTTCCTATAGCTACTAGCTGAGTGAACTGCCAGCCCTAGAAAAAACTCCAGGTCCCATGCCCAAAGAGCTGGTAGCAGTGGAGGATCCAAAACCAAACCAAACCCTTCCTGTGCTGAAGCTGAGCTCAGTGTAAATAGTACAATTTCAGTTTTAGAAACAGCACCATTTGAAACCCCATAGTGAGTGCATCCTTAACAGTCTCTCTTTATGCCCTTATTCTTTTTCAAAACTGGAGGTGAAAACATGATTCAACAGGATGTTTGCAACTCAGGAGCTTAATTTTTTTTTTTTAGTTTCCTCAAATAGAGAAGACAGATTGAATTTTACAGAGTACAAACAATAACTCTATAAAATAGGAAATGAGAATCTTGAACTCTCCTATAACAGCAGGAAACTAAATACTTGGTTGCTCGTGTAATGCTATCTACGTAGCTAATTTCAAGTGAATTCTTTGCTAGAAAAACCTAGGATCAGTAAAATCCTATTTATCCCAAGGGTAGCAGTCACAGTTCAAGCTTCCCTAATGACATGTTAAATTGTGATCTGAAGGGAAAAGTAAAAGGATGCTGACCTTTTAGTCAGAACTTCTTTTGCAAGCTACCTTAAGCAGAGATTTTCATTTCAGTAACACTCATGTGGTTTTGCATTTACACAATCCCATGAGCACTGTAAAGGGCAACAACACAGCTAGCACGCTGCCTTAGAAAAAGTACCACCCCAGAATGAAACAAACCTTCCTGTTTCCATTGTCAGAGAGGAGCTAAATGAAAACTAAGGCAGAAAAGCCAGATTAAGAATTTTCCAGTTTTATTTTTAAAACTAACAGAACAATTTATTTTAAAAAAATGAAACCAAGTACTATCTTTTTGGTTTCTCTTTACAAGTTCAATGTCCTTTTGAAAGCAGCCTCCCCTGCTGTGAAATATAACAGGCATACTGTACTAGAATTAATATTATTGGCTGTGCTATGGCTGGGAGACAAAGTAAGTAAAGGAAGACTCGCAAGGATGTCTGAACAGGGGACACACAATTCAAGAAGACCTCCTGCTAGTGGTTTAAGGTATCGGCACAGGTTTCGCTTAATTGTTGTTTTGTATATTGATGGTTTGCCCACAGTGTGCTACAGACACCCGAAGACAACACAATGCTAGCCTCCAAGAGCTCCTAATCCTGGACCCCGACCCTGACCTCGTGCAGTTTTAAAGAATACATTATTATTAGGAGAGATACTGGCCGACTCAGCAGTTCAGATAGTTGCATTCCAACTTCAGCCTGCGGGATGCTCTTTGCTGCCTGTTCTGTACCATGTTCTGTTGAATCCAGAATTCAGTCAGTGGCAGCAGGTCAGCGGTGGAATATGAAAGAGAGGGGTTTGCGTCAACATTTTGTTTGAGGGCAGTGGGGCTGATATAATTCTTGGCCCTGTGCATTGTGTTTGTCCATTATTTGGGGATATTCAGTTAACCCCAACTTGTATGGAGAGCATTTTGGATGCATTACTTAAACGCTAAACTAGAAGAATGCTAACCAGAGGAATCCTGCTGTATGTAAAAATGTATTTGATAATGAGATCAGACTTTAAGCAACAGCCCTTTGGCCTTCTGTGTCCCACGTAGCTAAGGCAACTCTGCTTGCCGAGAGTTCGCATACCAGTTAAGCAATACCAATGCTCCCAAGGAAGCACTCCAACTCCCACAAAAGTACCAGGATACAACAGTGCTGTTGGTTGTAGCCATGTTGGTCTAAGGACACAGGAAGACAAGGTTCTTTGGGTAAATGCAATATCTTTTATTAGACTAACTATATAGTTGGGAAAATTGTTCTTTGCAAGCTTTCAGGAACAAACACCCTTCTTCAGGCACAGGGAGAGTTAAGTCGCCTTGCTACAGTGCAAAAAAATGCAGTCCAAACAGTCAACTACCAAGAGGGGATAGTTTCATCCACTCTTGTTTAATATAGAAAAGCAAAGCTAAACCAAGTCAGTAAATTTAAGCACTGTAAAGCTTTAAAAGTCACCAGGCAGTCAGGCATTTTACAGCTTCATCAAGTTAAGCTTCCAGTAATCCCATTTTCTAGAGTCATTTCTTCTAGCTCTATAATTGTATAGCAACCAAGAAAGTAATTAGACCCAAGGATGATGTTTTATTTTACAGTTTGTGCTAGCCGCTAAAAAGGGATGTTTAAGTCATTTTAAATACAAAGATTTTGGCTGAGAAAAAAACAAAAGAACTTCAAGTGATCACTTGATATTTACTTGACACAGAAAGCTTTTCACCTTTTTAAGGTTAAGTGATTGAAGCACTCTACTGCTATCTTGGAATTAGAACCAGAACTTTGTTCTAACATAAATGCGAGCCAACAGCATGAACCAGCCAACTGTAATTACAATTTCCCCCTCAGCTTGATTCCTGAGGTCCATAGGGTTGTGAATGGCAAAAAAGCCCAAGGGCTTCTTTCAAAATAGGATTTTTATCTTGAAAGTCCATGCTTTTAGTTGTTCACATCTTCCAAGGGGCACCCTTTAAGAGGGTGAGAGGGCCAATGACTTAGTGAAGGACAGCCAACCTTTTAGCTCCATTTCTCCAAGCATCTGGATTGGGCTTTGGCAGGAGCACATACAGTAATAGCGTCCGGTGAGAGAACAGCTCTCTCACCCCGTCTTCACAATGCTTTAGGCCCCAAGTCCCATTAGACTCCAGAAGCACCAGGCTGGGCCAATCCCATGGCAACTCAGTACCCGCTCTTAGACGTGGTGGGCATCCTGCAGCCAAAGCGTGGAAAGGCCTTTACTTCACAGGAATTAATGAGTTTAGGAGAGATGAATTTGGCTACAGCCTGGTTCCCTAAAACAAATTCATCTTGGTTTTGGAAGTTAAGGGTGTGATATTACCAGCATTTATGCATACATAAGTCAAAACACAAGCTCTCCCTAGCCAGCTGGTCCCTGGGGAGCAGATGACAACCCATTTGGCACAGACACCCCACTAGTGGCACCCTGGCAGCAGATCCCTCTGGGCTCCGGGAGCTGCGCCCGGGAAGCAAACACTTGCATGGCCCAGCTCAGGCAGGGATGCACTGAGGCCGTGCCTCCCACGCCCCACCCCCCCGAGCTGTGCCGAGATGCAAACCCAGATGCACTGCACGGCTTCCCCCCGCCCCCCAGCGTGCCTCAGCCCAGCTGCGACCCCCTCGCTCCGCAGGGCCGGGCCGAGCAGCCCTCGCTACACCCGCGGGCAGGCGGTGGGCGCTAGGCCCAGCCCCGGTACCTTGTCGTCGGGCTCCCGGCCCAGGCGCTGCCGCAGCTCGCTCATGCTGCGCCCCGCTGCGAACCCCAGCAGCAGCGCGCGCGCTCGGGCCCCGGCGTTCCGTCCGCCCAGCGCCGCCGCAGCCAATGGGAGCCGCGCGAGCCGGGAAGGGGCGTGGCCAACCACCCCGCCTCTCTAGACCCGGATGTGGGCACCCTTCTTCTTCTCCTCGTCCTCCCCGGCCTGTGGTAGCCGCCATGATGGGTGTACGCCGATGGTGTGTGTACATGAGCTGCCCCATACACGCCGTGAGGCTCCCTGCAGCAGCCCCTGGGCACGGCACTCGAACCCTGGGAGCATGCTAGAGGCAGGGCCGAGTAGCCAGCCCGCGCAGCCTTGTGAAGCAAGCGCGGGTTGTAAGGCCGGCCTGGATTGGTGGGAGGAAACGCGTTGCTTGCTACCTGCGTGGCGATTGGCGTTTGCAGAGCCCGTGGGCGGGATTCTGTCCAGAATCCCATATAGGCGGCACTACCGGTGACTCCCAGGCTCTGATTGGCCGGAAGGAGGAGCTTTCATTTTTCGCGCACGATCCCACTGGTGGGCACGGATTGGTAGATTGGCGGCCAGAAGGCGGGGCTTCAAGTTGCTGCGATTGGTGGAGAAGCCGGGGAGGCGGGACCCGGACGTGAGGTCAGGGGCGCTATAAAAAGAGCAGTTGGCGCGCAGCAGGAAGCAGCCGTCTGGCAGCTCTTCTGTGTCACGATGTTCGAGGCACGGCTGGTGCAGGGCTCGGTGCTGAAGCGCGTGCTGGAAGCGCTCAAGGACCTCATCACCGAGGCCTGCTGGGACCTGGGTTCGGGCGGCATCAGCCTGCAAAGCATGGACTCCTCGCACGTCTCACTAGTGCAGCTCACGCTGCGCTCCGAGGGCTTCGACACCTACCGCTGCGACCGTAACATCGCCATGGGTGTCAACCTGACCAGGTGCCGCGGTGGTGGCCGGGGGGGGTGGGGCTGGGGCTGGAGCGCGGCACTCGCGCCGTTTGTGTCGCGCCTGCGTGGTGACGTCATGCCGGCGCTCAGGGTTTTCCCGCGCGCAGTGGCGGGAAGAAGCCCCCACGGGGGGAGGGGCTTGGGAG